GGAATACTAACCCATGCTACAGTCATACCTTTATTTTTGCTGCATAGATACATGCTTAGTTTCACCAGTGATTATAGTGGTTCCCTGCCAGCCCCTAGAATGAGAGCATAGAAATGATTTAAAACTTGCCTTTGCCCCTTAACCCAGTGCTTCACATCCCAAGCCAAAGGCAGCCAAGCAGAAGAGTTGAGATGTTCTCCCCCCACCCCATTCCAGCTTCCTTAAAATGAAGTCAAATATAGTTGTGCTGTCTAAACCAATGAACTCTACATCAGTTCAGCAACCATCCCCACACCCTCACTTCCTCTTCCTTTCCTCCTCCAATAATGTATACAGGCAAATAAAAATATCTTGGTTACCACAGAAACTGAACTAGGAAGATTTTATGAAAAAAATATTACTGCTTTAATAGGTGATATTGCTTTCCTCCTCCCACTCAGTTCTGACAGACTCTGGGACTTTTTCTGGTCAAAAGAAGCTTCACTTGGAAGGATTGCTGTTAAGAAATTGGAGTACCTGAATACCTGTGAAAGAAAGCAGCATGGCTCATTAAATCACTGGTTGTTGGTTTTTATGATTCCTTTCTGGTAACTGATTTCAGCTAATTTTAAAAACAGGACAGGAGGGAACTTAAATATATTCAACATTTTAAATTATCTCAGATATAAATACCAGCCCACGTGCATCAGATGTTGTTTGTGTAAGCACAGATTTACAAGTAAGAATTGCGTTAAGCAGTGAATATTGGCCTCGGCTATAGTAGTCAGATTCTGATGCAGTGCATCATCTCATTCCTTCTCCTTTTCTAGCAACCACGAATGCTTTAGTTTAGACAGGTCTTTTTTATGTTGCTGTGTGGTCTGCTCTTATGCATCCCATGGGGTTAGGCTTAGATGACATGGTAGTAAAAACACTTATGCCCTCTTTACACTGTACCTTCCACCCTTGACTACCATTCAGAGGTAATTGTATGTCTGAATATTACCATTGTAAATGAAGCCAGATATTATTATACCAGGGGTTCAAGCTTTAAAACCTTTAACAAACACCTGGATTTAGAGAGAAGTTATTTTTGCAAATTTTCTCTTAGTGCTTATGTTCCAAGCTAATGCATTGTTTTTTCTTTTTTTCCAATAATTTTTTTAAAGGGCTGTATACTTCTGTTAGTATAATAACATTTTTTTCATCTTGTACTGTTAAATTTCTGTAGTTCTTAAAGGGCCAAGGAATGAGTGAGAAAATTAATAGAAACATTAATAGGTATGTTCAGCTAGAAATGATCCCTTTCTATCATTATTCTCGTATTCTTCCCAGTGACGTACCTTTAAGTTTGACTTCACTGGTAGTGTTAGAAAACAAAACCAGAAACAGATTGTCTGGTATCTGGTGATGATTCATTGTCGCATATGTTTAATTTTCCAGAAAAAATGTCTTAAAATACACCCTAACCTTTTTGAGTTCTGTCAGTCAAATGATCCATTGATAATTTTATTAAGAGTCAGATTTTAAAGTAGCTTTAGCTGTACAGTTCCCATTGAAATTAATGGGGGTTGTGCATCTAAATCCTTTTGAAAATCTGTACTATTGAAAACCTATGCTATTGAAAAGCATATAGATGCATTTAAGTAAACAAATGATTAATAAAGAGTCTAGCATTTTATATTATTAACAGTCTACCAGAGGATGAATATGAGCCATCAGTGCGATTAAGTTGCCAGCAGGGCAAATAGAACTCTGTTCTGTATCAGCCAGTGTGTTGCGAACAGATCCAGAGAGGTGCTCCTCTCCCTGTATTCAGCATTGGTGAGGCCACAGCTGGAGTACTGTGTCCAGTTCTGGGCACCACGCTTTAAGAAGGATGTAGATAAGCTTGAAAGAGTATGGAGAAGGGCCGGCCACCCATATGATTAGGGGCCTGAAGGATAGGCTTTATGAGGAGAGACTCTGGGAACTGGGTTTGTTCATTCTGAGTAAGAGAAGACTGAGCGTGACTTGATAGCCACCTACAAGTACGTCAAGGCTGAACACCAAGATCTAGGCCAGCAACTCTTCAGAAAGGCCCCCTTTGGGAGGACAAGGTCCAATGGGCATAAGCTAGTTGAGAAAAAATTTAGACTGGACATAAGGAAAAACTTATTTTCCGTAAGGCTATCTAGAATCTGGAACATGCTCCCAGCAGAGGTGGTGCAGTCACCATCCTTGGAGGTGTTCAAGAGGAGGCTGGACAAGCACGTTGTTGAACTCGTTTGAGCCCAGTTACTTCCTGCCCATGGCAGGGGACTGGACTTGATAATCTACAGGTCCCTTCTGGTCCTTCTATTTTATAATTCTGTGATTTTAACCTAATTAATTATTTTTGTATGAGCCTTGTTCGTGACTTTAGTGTTTGGGGTTTGCAAGACTGCAGTTTTGAATTTTGCTTCAGTTTTCCCTACTAATTAGTGATGTTCAGACAGGCATTGTAGCCTTATGGTCTAAGAAATGGACTAAAAGCCAAGAACACCTGAGCACCAGTTCCTGGTTTAACAATAGCATTTCCTGTGTAGCTTTGCAAAGGTACTTGACATTGCCCCATCAGTTAATCTGTCTGTAAAATGGAGAAGAAATTTTCCACATAGATATTGTGAGTAGTTAATGTTTGTAAAACATTTGGAAAATTAAAAGTGCTTTATAAGGGCTAAATATAATGTATTATTCATTGGTGAGATTTGTGTGTGTTGACTTCATTATATCGCTTACCTCCCTTCAGTTGATATTTGTTGGTTGTTAATTTTCCTTGGATATAAGATAGGACTCCACATATTTAACACTACAGCTCTTTTTGTTCTTCATTTTTTTTTCTAGTCTGGGTCTTTCCTAATATAATACAAGCATGCTTTACTTTCTAATAGAGGTGCACACATACACCAGTCCGATATCGGATTGGTACTGATATAAAGAAAATTATCTATATTGGATATTGGCCCGATGGGGTCAGTAATTTGGCCAATAAATGCCCATGCTTCATGGAGAGCTGCCTCCAGCTGGTAAATCGAAAGGGGAAGAGGGAGGGAAGGGGCATGAGGGGTAGATCAAGGCCCCCCCATGGTGAGGGAGGGAACAGGCACAACCCACCGGGGGGGTGCGGGGGCATGGCTCATGGGGTGGGAGCAGCTCTGACCACTGCTTGTACCCCAGGAGGGCAGGGACGGAGGGCCGTGTGCCCCTGGATCTGCACAGGGCTGCATCAGTGGGGTGGAGCCAGAGCCAGCGTTGCATAGGGCTTTTCTTGCCAGGGGTTGGGCTCAGAGCGGGCTCCAGTGGCACTGGGAGGAGGCTGCAGCCACCCCAAATTTTGCTACAGTTCCACCCCCTGCCACTGCTTTTCCTGGTGCTTGAGTGGAGGCAGGGTGTTCAGCTGGGGCGGAGATGCGGCAAAATTTGGGGTGGCTGCAGCCTCCTCCCAGTGCTGCCGGAGCCCACTCTGAGCCCAGCCCCTGGGGAAAAAAAAGCCCCGCGCAGCCCTGCCCCACAGCTCTACCTCACAGCTTCAGTCCACCCTGCACTGCGCAGATCCAGGGGAACATGGCCCCTCTTCTCTCGGCCCCGCACTCCCGGGGTGCAAGCAGCAGCGGGAGCTGCACCTCCGTCCCATGCCTCCATCCTCTGCTGGGCAGCGCCTGTCCCTGCCCCCTCCCTCACTGCAGTGGGCCTTGATCTTTCTCCCCACACCCCTTCCCTCTCCTTGCACCGCAACGGACTTACCACCTGATGGCATCTGTATTGGATTGGGATAGGCCAATAAGCTTCCTTAAATATTGGCTATCGATATCAGCCCCCAAAATCTCTATCAGTGCACCCCTAATTTTTAATATATTTTTTTAAACGTACCTTTGTCTCAATCTTTGACTTGTCTTGTTTCTCCAGCTACTATCCTGCCTCCCTTTTCTCTTTTAGCTCTAGGTTTGTGAGATCTACAAGCAATGTACGGCCATTATCCTCTTCTCCAGTTCTGTTCTTACCCATCTCCAATCCAGCTTCAGCCTCTTACTGTCCAACAAGACGGCTATCACAAAAGTCTCTAACAATCCTAGTCAAACCTCAGAAGTTCTTTTCAACTCTGACTGACCTATCAATCACTGTCAACGGTCAGCAGTGCCCTTCTTGAAATCTAAGCTTCCATGGCATTGTTTAGTCTTCTTGGCTTTCTGGTACTACTTCATATTATCTTTTAAATGCTTCCCTCATCCTTTCTGCAGTTCTCTGAGGTTCCACAGGGCTCTGTCTCTGGTCCACTTTCTTACTGGGAAAGAAGTTGGGAATGGGGTCAAGATGAAAGACAGCTTGGACAGTGTGGAAGAACAATTTTTTGTCTAACATATTTAACAATTCTCTCTGATAAGATTTTATTTATTAATATATTTTCCCATTTGGGTGTCCTTAAAAAACATATCTTCCTAAATATTGTCTCCCTTTTTGAGTGAAAGGCGGGGAGGGAGTTATCCACTCTTACTTATTTGATCCTGTGCTTGATGTAGCTTAAAATTTTATTTACATTTTTATAATGAAGAACTACATTTGCTGAAAATATTTCAACATGAAATATTCCAGATGATCTCGTGTTTGTTATGTAAATATTAAATGGTACAGTGGTCTTAATTGTCTGATAAACTGAATATCTATTCATTATTGATTCCCAGTCTCTTCCTCTAAATGGTATTTCAAAGATAACATATTTAGGCACAGTTGTTTTTATTCCTATTTTTGGTAGCTGTTTGATACTAGGCTATCACATGAAGAACTGTATAGGCCTTCTAAAACTTATTCAGACCTTATACCTTGGAAGTAGGGGCACATTCCAAATAAACAGGAGTAAACAGGGGATCTCTGTTCAAATAAACCTTGCAGTATTTGAGAAGTTTTGGAGGCTATAAGGGGAAGGAAAAGTACAATGGATCTTTTAAAAAACAAAACAAAACTTATTTTACACTATTAACCATTTCATCTTTCTTTTTCAGAAAACATTGCTGCCCTGATCCATTGTCACAAAGAGAAAGGGGCGAAAAGTGTGGACATCAGCCGTGGATAAATTGGAAACTTAGATTTGGTGCCAGCTTCTACAGAAGGTTTTACAAAGCCACCTTTGGCATTGGAATGGATAAAATACTTCAGACTTAAATGGTAACCTTAATACTTCCACAGTCTCTTTTTAAATGTCCTTGGTGCATCTTCTTAAAATTTTGTACAAATTTTAAAGGTTTTTAAGCTTGTACTACTGCAGTTTAAATATATGGTGACCTTACACCAGCTAAATTCCAGATAAATCTGTACTTTTGCCACTTCTTTTATTATTAGAAGGTAGCTTGCAGTGTCAGCTTTTAAAAACTTTGCAACTGATGTTTAAGTTGTGGCTAAAACAATCCTTTACTTCTTTCATGTTGGGAGATGAACCCTCCTCCTCACCCCCAGTCCTTCCTCTTTGGGGTACAACAATTAAGAATTGTTTAATATTACTTGCTGACTAATTCTTTCTACCAAATAAAAAAGCCATACATGCATTTTTGTAGCTATTTCCATTTATATGACAAAAACTTTTATGATCTTATTAGGTTAGAAAAGCTACTTTACTTTGTTCTTTGGTAAGGACTATGAGCCCATTGCTGCTTCTGTTGTTGTCATACCTAGTTTCCTCCTTTTGTCATCTTCTGCCTCCCCTCTTCTCTCCCTCACCCTGTTTCCATAGCAGTGTTTTCTAACAGCTCTTCAGTAGTGCTAAGTACCATCATCACCAGTACCACCACCACTTCCTACGAGAATCCGTACTACTCGTTCTCTCCTTTTTCATTTTGTTCCTTCCACTTATTTTGCCTGTCTCGCTCTGTCTTGTCATCTTACTCTGTTTTCTCTCCTTAGCCTCTTTTCCTTCTCACTCTGTTGTGTCTTGTCGAACTTGATGAATCCATAATATTCCTAAAATGAAGTGGGATGAATTCTGCTTGTATCTCTTCCTCCATCCCTTTCCTGTAGCTAGTGGCTACATTTATAGACATGTGCTAGAGCAAAGCCTTACTGTAGATATCCTGTGCCTTTTTTAAAAGTGACATGCACAAGTGCATTTGTTTTGAAAGCAAGAACAGGCGGTGTTTAAATATCTGTAGTGCCGTAATCCTTTTATTTGCTCATGATATTAGAAGGTAGTCTGTCCCTATTTTTATTTATTTTTGAGGGCAAAAAAAACAGGTCTCCCACTATCACATTTTGATAGATTAACTGACCACTGGCATTCCTGGGGCTTGTAAAGATAACTGGCTTCCTTTGTCCAATCATAACCAGGTGCTCACTCCACCTGTGTATCACAGGCTGTGTGTGAAACTACAATGCTACAGGGTAATTCTTTCACACTTTCTACAGATGCTTTATATTAAGGGTGGGATTCTCAAAAATTCTTCTTATTTCCAAATTAAATAAATGATAAAGCTCCTTTTGGCTTCAGAAAGAACAGTTAAGCTAGTGCTGAGTACTTCAGAATATATCTCATGGCTTAGGCTGACATCATTTGGTCACTGAAGTCTTTTCCCAAACTGTTTTCCTCTGTTAACTGTCTAAAGTTCTCTAGTTTGGAATTTTGTCATCACTGCTGGGAGGAAAGGCGGCATGCAAGGAGATGGGAGATGATTGTTTTGGTGGTGGTAGCGGGGGAATTTTGGAAGGTGTGAGGAACTGTTAATGGACTCTGTGCCAATGGCTCTCTCTTAACTCCCCTCCTAACATCTGTACTTTAGGAAAATGGTGTGCCAATTCCATAGATCTGCAGTGGTGACAGCTGGAGCTCAGAAAAAAATTACAAGTAAGACCTTTCTCCCTGTTTTTTAACATTCATTTCTCCATTCTCTCCCTGTTCTTGCTTTTGCTTTTGCCCCCAAACTTTCTGATGAACATTATAAATGCTCCATTCTATTGATCTAGCACCTCTAAAAAAAAAAAAAACCCAAAAAAAACAAGGACGAGCAGCTGGCTCAACAAAGAATGCTGTCATTTGCCCTGATGGGAGAACTGTGGCAAATCAGAGGACTCATTCATTTTTAAGGGCATGTTAAAATCTAGTATATTCCCCAGAATGTTGGAGGAGGAAATAGCAGTGGAATTGGTAATTATCTGTTGGTGCAGGAAGACCATAATCAGCTGTGTAAGGAGAGGTTTGTTTTGGCTCAGGAAGTGCTGAATGAAGCTATATGGGAGGAGATTTGGGAAGAGCTAACAGTTGCTGTTTGGGCAGGTTCCCTGTCAGTGGGTGATACACTGGACTGACTTGGGTGGGAAGTGCCTTGAGGATGCCACATGTACAAATTCTTTTCCTGAGAACAGCTGGAGGATGTTGTATGGGAGGTTCCTCTGGCTCAGGGAACATGTTGTATGGGAGGGTTCTTTCTCGGCCTGGGAACACATATTTTCCACTTGACTCACTGACTGAAATCTAAATGAGCAATAAAATTTCTAAAATTAAGGTTCAATTAGTTAGAATAATATAAGTGAATTTATCATCAGGAAGGAAGACCAGAATAAGGGAAAAGAATGTATTAGGAGGAGGAAAACCACCGCCTGCTCAATAACAATGAAAAGTGGCAGGAAGTTGGGTAGCACCTTCATCAAACTGACTGATTTACTCTCTATCCACATAGTTATTTACCTTGGACACAGCTATTCTGAAAGTGTTAGCAGTCCCGTCTATCTCTTCTGTCACAGGCATTCTTTCTCCCATGTATAGAGATATTAAAGTTGACCTTTATGTACATACATGCATTATATAAATCTGCCTGTAGAAGTGCTAATCTTTATCAATGACAGGAAACTGCTCACTGATTTCTGCAGAACTCTTTTTCTCCTGGAAGCAACTCTGGCTTTTGTTTCTTCTTGGACTTGGCACACGGAGTCAGGAAGTAACATGTTAAATGTATGGGTGCTGAAGCAGAATCTGATGTGATTGAAGAACCCTTTCTTGACATTATTGTATAAATAGTTATGTTTTTATTTCAGTGGTGGCTGATGGAGTCACAGTATATTTTTTCAGGGCAGGATGGAGTGATTATAGTCAGTAATCATATATATGTTTATTATAATCATCTTACATTTAGATAGTATTTTTTTACCTAGATGGATCCTAAAGTACCTAACCTTTATTAACTGACTCTGCTGGCTATCTTATTTTATATTTATGGATCAATGAAAGCACATGCTGCATTCAGAAACACTTAAGACAGTATTGAGCTGATTAGAGAAGTTTGCAGTCTAATTCAGACAAACACAAGATACGTGTATGCTTTGAGTAATTACTTTACAAGTACCCTAGAAGATGGTGAGGAAAATTGTAAAGAAATTAATCTTAAAAAGTTTAATCAAAGTAGTACAGTTAAAGGCATGTATTGTGTGGGAGAAAGTTATAGGAGTTTGGTGAAAAAGAACTAAGAGGCTGTCCAAGCCTACTTGTGAGATGCTGTGAAAGACTTTCCTTTCCTCTCTCTCCCACTTCCTCCCACCCTACAAAAGAACAGATAGCAGGAGCTATGGAACAATATATAGCAACACTACATGTCTTTTTAGGATAAGGAAGGAAAACCACTGCATAAGTTCATTCTGTTATTCTAATATATTTTTAGAAGGCATGCAGGCTGGTCTTTGACACATCTAATTTGTTTTATTCCATCCATTGTGTATGACATTCAGTTGTTTTTCCATTCTGAAGCAGTAATTTTTATGTTGCCCATAATACAAATATATTGCTTACACTAAAAAAAAAAAAACACCAAAAAAGCAGAGCCAGGACCTTGCGTGTATATGGCTGTGTATTCTTAATGGTAACGTAATTACCCCTCAGTCTAAAAGTTATTTAAAAATTGATTAGTCTATGGTGGTTACTAAAACACCAAAATTTTAAGTGAATGTGAATGAAGGCAGTAATGGCTGTTTTGGGGTATAACCAGAAACAATGGTTCTGATAGGTATCACTGAAATGTTAGCTTTGAAGCCTTAATGACAACATTTTAAATCTTAGTTATTTCACTGTTGATCATTTTACCAGAAAAATGAAGCGCAAACACTATTTTGTCATAAAATATAGTGGTAAATACTGTAATGGGATCCAGAAGATAGTTCCTCTTAACGCGTTTGTGTGGGAATGAGGAATTCAGGCCACTGAACCAAAGATATTGTCCCCTTCATTTTTTCCCCAAAAAGGGGTAAGGTAAAAGGATATAATATGCATCTTTTCCCTCCTACTTAAAGTCTTTCAGTCTGTGTTAGAGAAAAGCATGTGCTTCTGCACTTGCATACATGCTCACAATAGACCAACAACCTAACTGATTTATATACAATTCTGGCAAATCCTTAATGTCACAGTGTCGGAGTAGAGGGAAGAGATTAATTCCTTAACCCCAATATTTATGGTCAAATCAAAGACTTTTTTTGTGGTCTTCCTTTATCTGAAGCATAGCTGAACAGATTGAATTCAAAATTTGTTTTTGAAAAAAGACACTGCCATTCAGCTGAGACCTTGAATGCCAGTCTTTCAGTCCTAAGCAGGCTTTTATAGCTGAGTTATAAACTCTTGAAAAAGGTGATTCATAAATGGAAACATTGTCAGAACAAGTTATTATAAAAATGAAATATTTATAAAGGGTCCAGTTGTAAATTGTATTCGTTTTCACAGTGAGTCGACTGTTAACCTTTCTCTGGCTTGTTCTACAGTTTGCCCCTTATTTTACTCAACTTAACATACAAAAATTGCCCTCTCTCAGTTATTAAATATTGTAATTTGTTTATATTTTCATTTGATAAGGAGAATAATGGTTATTCCTTTCTTTTAAATTCATGTTGATGAAATGCCTGCCTTTGGAAACTTAACTTAAAATCAGCAGGAGAAGCATTGGCAAGATGACATGGAAAAAAGCATTTAATATACTGCAAGGTTCAAAATGAGCAGCAATCCTGTCTTGGCCTAAGGCTGCCATTTTTAAATCAAGACCATTCCGTTCTGTTTCGTATCAGGGCAATGGGCTTCTTTTTTGTGATGAGACAGAAAACTCTGTGCCTTGATATAGTGTTTTTTAGCTGGGTCTTTACTTGAGCAAAGGGAGGATTTTTTTTTTCTTCTTTCAAAATTTTCTGTTGATCTTAAATAAGATGTTCCATAAAAATCTTCTTTTAAATGTTCAAGTGAGGGTAGTAAATACTAACATTCAGAATACTTAAATACTAAATTCAGAATAATGATAGGTCTGTATTTTTATCATTTGAGACTATCAGTTGATGGGCTGGATCTGGCCACCCCTGAGTTAGGTAGTCTGTTGCTGAGAGACGGTGTTTGAGGCTGGGGGCTGTTTAAGCCAGGACAGGTTTGCTTGCTCCCTGTGGCTGCTAGGATGGGTTGGAAATCATTAGTGAGGTCTGAGGTGTTCAAGGTGGGGCTGTGTCACCCTTGTCTTGGTTGTAGCAGGGTCTGACAGTCTGAGTCTGGTGCTGTTGATTTGAGTGACTGTATCTTTAGGATTGTGGTATAAGTGTAAGAATCCCTGTAACAGATCCTCCAGATTCTGGTAAGTAGGATGAGAGCAGATAGCAATGTTATAATGCAGAGCTTGGCTGTAGACAGTGGATCTAGTGTTGAGAGCTACTGGCATGGAAATAGCTGTAGCGGTCAGCTGGTTTTGTTGCAGTGTGGTGGTGATATGGCCATTGTAAACTTTCAGAGTGGTGTCCAATAAATGAATTTTCTGGGTGAAGTATTCTAAAATTAATTTGGAACAAGGGCATATAGAGGTACTAGACAAAATCCAAAATTGTAATATCTATGCCTAAATCTAGTTGTCTGCTCTTACCTGAAGAAGAAAATTCTGAAATAGGAGGCAGAGGTAAAGGAGACTCCTTGGCTTTCTTCCTAGACTTTCCTTCTATCATTTGATCTATTTTAAGTATCTTTTATTTCTTTTCCTTAAATGACTGTTTATGCCAATGTTGCTTTTCTGCAAGAAACACTTTCACAATTTCAAGGTCAAAAACTAAGAATTTTTGTAAGCAAGATCCATAGAGGCTTTCTATTTCTTTCTCTTGGTCTTCTGTAGTGCTTAGGCAGCATGTATAATTAGTGAAAATACCATATCTTATTTCAGTACTTTTGACAAGCTCATCCTTCCTTAGTACTCATTGTATTGATATTGTATACTTTCACTTTCTTTAAATAATTCTGTAATTGATATTTAATAGATTTCCCTTCTCTCATAATGAGTCCTTTCATTCGTTCACAGCCTCCTACATGGTGTGAAATTAGCAAGGAATGCATTTCCAGTAAAAAAAAAAAAAAACAAAACAAAACAAAACTGTTTGAGCCACACTTCAGATATTAATTAAGAGAATCATTCATTGATCTTTCTCAGGGATCAAAAATATATTTCTCGTCCCTCAGTTCTATTCCAAATAGCAATAATTTCCTGTAAACTAAAGGCTGAGAATGACTGGTATGGGGAAAATGTTGTGTATGCAGTTGCTATGGAAACATACCTTCTAGACCTTGAAAACCAGCATTGCAGCCTACAATGTCCCCACTGTTTGTTGGCACTGTTTGTAAATCACGGAAGTTATATTCACTTTCTTCTCCCCCCCCCCCCCCCTCTCAAACTAATTATGAAATGGCACAGGCAGTTATCTATACCAGGCCTCTGCTTTGGCACATTCATTATTCAGTATTAAGAGAAAAATGAGGGCATCGGGAAAGAGAGTCTGCCACTTCAAAATGTGGATGTTTTCAGAAAAAATCAGAGCTGCTAAGCAGTACCATAATACAGTAAACTGGAACCA